ATAAAGTAACTAATTATATTATAATATTAAAACTAAATCACTATTACAATAAAAATCAACACTGACTAAACAGAATGGCTGCATGAAATATGTTGTGCAGAGAACTGTCGGCAAAACTAAATCTGGAAACAGTTTTAATCCAGACGTTTCTGAGAATGAGAACTTTGGACAAACAATGAACTTATGCCGAAGGCAATGTCAGTGCAGGCGGCGTTCGCGTAGTGTCCATTGTAGTTTTGTAGGCGGCGCGCGCGGCCTCGGCAGGCAGGCGTTCGCGGTAGATGACGTTCATTGTGTTTGTAGGTTCGCGCGCATGGGATCGGCCGTGCAGGCGTATCGCAAGTAGTGAACGTTCTTAGGTGTTTGTAGGGGCGCGTAGCCGGCTCAACGTGCAAGGACGTTTCGCGTAGTGACGTTCTTGTGTTTGTAGGGTCGCGCGCGGCTCGGCGTGCAGGCGTTTGCCGACGCGCTGCTCGTGATTCCGAAGGTCCTGGCTCAGAACTCTGGCCTCGACATTCAGGACACGATCGTGAAGCTGCAGCAGGAATACGCAGAGAGCAAGCAGCCCGTCGGAATCGACCTCGCCACCGGTGAGTGCTGCCCTCTATACGCGCGCGCGCCGTCGGCGTCGGTGATCGACGCTGTAAGTGCGCTCTGTTGTTATGCCAATTTCGTGTGTAACTATACGTGCGCGCATCGGCGTTTGTGACCGACGCTGTAAGCGCGCTCTGTTGTTATGCCAATATCGTCTGACTGTATAAGCATGCTTCGTTGTTGTGCTGCCGCCAGATTCCTTACTGAACTCTGTACTGATGCAAATGACTTGTAATGAACTATGCGCTTAAAATAAATACACTGTAAATATCTGACAGCTGGTAAATAAAATAACCACTTAACCACTTTATAACTTATGATAAATTAATTATACACTGGAAAAGAAATCGTTATTGTGAAACTGGTAAAAATCTGTTAAAAAATCGTTAACTTATTCTCTTGTATACTGTGATGTCACCACATGTTGGCAGGTCTGCACATACATGTTACATGCTGGCGGAGGTATGCACTCTCCATGAGTGCCCTCTGTCTAGTTCTACCAGTGGTTATTTTTCGCTATCGTAGGTGACGCGCTCGTTCCAGCCGACCTCGGTATATGGGACAACTACCGTGTGAAGAGGCAGCTGCTACACTCCTGGTAAGCTACGCTACATTACTACTACTTACTACTACTTACTACTTACTACTTACTTACTACTTAATACTACTTACTACTACTTACTTACTACTTACTTACTACTTACTACGGGCGTAGGCGTAAGTTGTGTTGCTTGCCTTGGTTGCCTGCGACTGTAGCACCGTACAACACCGTGGTGCCATCTGCTGGAGGAAATGATCAAGTTTCTTGATGAAATCGGTTTGTTTGGGTGTTGTTCGGCCGTAGCGTAATCTCGTGTAATTGTACAATCGTGTGTGAAAGTCGCTGGCGATGGTGAGACGAGGAGAGATGGAGCGATACCCGTTTTACGTACGCCCGTACTCGCGTGTGTGAGCGCTCTCTGCTGTCTTGCCAATACACAGCTTTGCTGCTTATCTTTCGTTTCACGTTTGCATATGACCGAGTATATTCTTATTGGGGTAGTGTGTAGGTGTTGTGTTCGTGGGATTTCCTTGTGTTCAGGTGTTTCACACAGTTTAATATGCTTGCACTGTCATATATGTAATTGTAACACCAGTTTTAAGTGGTCGGCTCTGAAAAATGAGAAAAATTGATCTTCTTCTGTTAAAAACACTTCGTCGTTTGCCGTAAGAGGGCGCCACTTGTTCTCGCGTTGAAACCGATGTCGTGAAGTCGTCGTGATGAGTGAAATCTGTAATTGACTTTCGTTCTTCTGACTACAAGCATGAACGAGAAAACAGAATTCTCTGAGCGATTTCGATATCGGGGTGACTAACGTGTCGGGCATACGTGAGATCCCGCCACGAGACTTAACTCCCGCAGACTTTGCGCGTAGGTTTTTTTGCGATGCGAGTAATCCAGTCAGTCGTTCGCTTGTGTGTCCGTTTTTTCGGCTTTTAAGGCCATCCTTAAAAAATTGTTTGTTTCCCCTTTATCTACTCGCCTCTCAGGGTGCCGAGTAGGTAGGTAGGTGAGAAATCTTTTTTATTTTGTTTTGACAAGATGTGTGTATGTATATTGTATATTCTGTTTTGTGTATATGTTTTTGCGGAACGAATTTGATTTTTTTTTTTTGGCGAAACGAAAGAATTTTTGTTTTGTTTTAATCGCGCAATAAAATGTGTCGAGTAGCGGCGTTTTGGCGAGTCAGTCGGTAAAGGGGAAACAAGCAATATTTTATCTTAGGCCTAATCGGCATTTTACGTGCGTCGATCGATTTTTTATTTTGCGTTTTTTCTTCTTGCAGTGCGGTCATAGCCGGCAACCTGTTACTGGTGGACGAGATAATGCGAGCGGGCATGTCGTCGCTGAAGGGATAGCGTCCGCCGTTGCCACGACGACCGCCGAGCGGCGCCATCTAGTGCAGCAATTTTCATGTTTTCTCGATCACCACCTTCGTGTATTTTTCGTCTCGCGGCATTTTGCTTTGTTGTTCCGCGCTTTTCGTGTTTTCTCGCGGGGGAACGCTTCTGCGCGGCCGCGAGGCGCGCGCTAATGTGTTTAACGAGCGATTAACGAGCAATTAACATCTGCAGTCGCTCGTGCGGCGACGAGAACGCACGGCGGCGAGGCAGGCACGAGCGATTGCAGATGTTAATTGCTCGTTAGTCGCTGCCGAGAAAAATCCTCGCAGTTGCCGTGGAGACCGCGCCGACGGCAGAGTCGTGCGGAGAGCGGGCCGAACACGCGTCGCTCCGATCCGGTGTGACATGTTCCCCCGCGCGTGTGAGACGGGACCAGACACAGTGTCCATCTGTGATGTCATCAGTAGCTGTGGCGTCTGCGCATCCATGATGTCATCAGTAGCTGTGGCGTCTGCATGTTTGTGATGTCATCAGTATCTGTGGTGCCTGTGATGTCATCAGTTTCTGTGGCGTCTGCGCATCTGTGATGTCATCAGTTGCTGTGGCGTCTGTGCATTTATGATGTCATCAGTAGCTGTGGCATCTGCGCATCTGTGACGTCATCAATAACTGTGGTGTCTGCGCATCTGTGATGTCATCAGTTGCTGTGGCGTCTGCGCGTCGGCCGGTTTAACCTAATTGTCGCATCACAAGTCTCGCGAGTTCGTTCTGCTCTGGTATGCAATATTGTTTCTCCTTTGTGCAAAAATTCCCCGCCCCCCTCTCGAAATAAAAGCACGCTTACCACGAAAGAGAACGACTTCTTGTTTTTTATGCTCGTTTCGTTTCTCTGGCAGTACAGTTTCCAAGTGGTTCCTTTATTACGTGGAGATCAACAAAGCGAAGTCGGGGGAGAACAAGGAAAACAATGTTTGGTTTAATTTCCTGAGGCTCCGCAGGTCTGCGCAAAATGCTGTTTACTATTTGGCACCGAAATTGGATGCGTTCCCAGCAGACTCCCTGTAATTTGTTCAGTTGACGAATTCGACGGCTCTGTGGCTGAGAAAAAGTTTCACCACGGTGTCATCTGTTATTCATGATTATTCAGCATTATCTGAATGCGGACAGATATTTGGATAGTGGAATGGCGCAACTTTGCACTGCGTATCGCAGAGAATAGCTTGCCGTAGCCCCGTCAGATATATAACCCCGTCAGGTCCGTAGGCTGAGCAAATTCCTATGGGGGCAGTGGCAGATCGAGGATTTCCAGGAGGGCGTGAGAAACAGGTGGAGGGTCTGGGGGTCCTCCCACAAAACATTTTGAAAATGCAGATCGCAGGAGATGGTATTTGAGGTACTTTTGAGTAAATGTGCAGCCTCCATTCTGACTACGACAATTCGCTTTTAGTACAACAATTTATTTTTTTAATTTTGCTCCAAAATCTAGTGGGTGGCAGCTGCCCCCCTTGCCCCCCCCCAGGCTATGGCCCTGCCCGTGGGAGTAACCGTGTGATGTATCTGTGTTTGGGTTTTAATGTTGTCCGTCCGTGCAGGTCGATCTTAAACATTTCTTTAAAAAATATCTTAAAAGATTGGTTGCGAAATAAGTTCGTGTTCGGCATTCATTCGTTCGCGACGGGTGTTTGCTTTCGCGCGTTAATAGAAATAAGTAATCAGACGTGAATTGTTGCGGATGCGGAAGGGATGCGGTGAAGCCGCGTGTTGGAATCTTTCCTGTCGTAACCCTTTGCTGGTCTGTTTGTACTGTTTGTACGCCGCGCATTGGAATAACTGTCATCGGCTAACAGCAGGCTCATATTAATGCTGTAAAATATTTACATATCACCATATAAATGTACCGCTTAGAAGCTGGTATCTATATGAGAGGGAGGTTGAGGGGGGAGGGTGAGAGAGAGTGTGGGGAGAGAGAGAGAGCGAAGAGAGAGAGAAAGAGAGAGAGAGAGAGAGAGAGAAAGAGAGAAAGCAAGAGAGAGAGAGAAGAGCAGGTAAGAGATAGAGAGAGAGAGAGAAAAGAGAGAAGAAGACACAGCGAGAGAGAGTAAGAGAAAGAGAGAAGAAAGAAGAGAGAGAGAGAGAGAGAAGAGAAAGAGAAGAGAGAGATGAGAGAGAGAGAAGAAGAAACAAGAGAGAGAGAGAAACGAGAGAGACAGAGCAGAGAGAGATGAGACAGATAGACAGGAGCCGAGAGAGAGAAAGCAAGAGAAGCCATGTTGGCTATCTTTATTGCGTGGTGGAATCTTTTATTGGCGCTGTAAGGGTGTGTGATAGATTTTATGAGATTGCGTGCTAGAAATTATTACTGAAAAAGCTTCATTCTGATTTCTGGTCGTAACCCCTGCTTCGGACTGGTTTGTATGGTGTGTACGGCCGCCGTTGGAATATGCTAAGCAGCAGCCTCAGATTAGATGCTGTAAAATATTACATAATCACCATATAAATGTATTGGGCCTAGCAGCTGGTATCTAATGACGAGGAGGGGTTGGTACTAGAGGGAGGAGGGGGAGGAGAGAGAGCCGATAGAGAGTAGACCAAGGACTAACAGAGAGAGAGAGAGCGAGAGCCGAAGACAGTAAGAGAGAGAGAGAGAGAAAGATGAGAGAGAGAAAGATGAGAGAGAGTAGAGAGAGAGAGGAGAGAGAAAGGAGAGAGAGACCAAGAGCAGAGACGAGAGAGAGTCAGAGAGAGAGAGAGAGAGAAAGAAGAGAGAGAGAGAGATAGAGGAGAGAGAGAGAGAGAGAGAGAGAGAGAGAGAGACGAGAGAGAGAGAGAGATTGCGCCAGGTGGCGTATCTTATAGGCGTAGGATATTCTTATCGCGGTGTCATCCTCTTTATTCTTAACGGAGTATGTTGCAGGCAGCATTATATTACGTAAGAAGCTTATTTAATGTTACTGTCGTAACTGCTGCCCGTTCGCCTTGGCTGCAACTGACTGCCTGTATGTGTGTACCACGTCGTCATCACATTGTGACTTGATTTGCATGTCTGGTCGTCGGTCTACTGTGTTCGTTTTGATTGTAAGTGTTTGCTTATGTCGTTTGTTCTCTTCGTCATTGTTATTGTTAATTACATTCTCCAGTTTGCCTTTGTGTGCGTAAATCGGCCCCTCACAGTTAAGTTGCTTGTAAAAGCAAGATGAAAAAAGACGTATGTGGTGTATGCTCTGTCCCTGAGTCCCGTATCGCATGATTCGCCTGTAGCTCTCCGAGTTCATGCGCCTTCCTCAATGTTCACCTCCATTCCTAAATCTACCAAACATAGTGTGAGAAGCGTGTGAGTGTGCGGTGTGGTGCATGGCGTGCTGCGTGTCGCGCGCGCGCGTTGTGTGTGTGTGTGTTTGTGGGTGTGTGTGTGTTTGTGGGGGTGTTGTGGTGCGTGTCAGTGTGGAGTGCGTGGTGCAATGCGTGCGTGCGTGCGTGCTCGTAGCGTCGCCGTGCGTGCTGCGTGCCGTGTTGTGTGTGGTGGTGTGTGGGTGGGTGCAATCATCGGCGTGCTGCGTGCGTGCGTGTGTGTATGTGTGTGTGTGTGTGTGTTTGTGTGTGTGTGTTCGTCAGCGGCTTCCGTGAACATCCACCGCACGGTAAAAAGCCGGAACATCGCTGCTAATTGTTTCTACCTGATTTTAATTAAAACGGCATAATTAATTATATTGTATTAAAACACCAAACAAACTCCCGCATCGTCCCCGTCGGGGGAGCTATGTGTACATATATCAGGCCTGCGTACGCTCTCGCGGGATGTTTGCATTGTTTGATAAGTGACGGACACATACGTCATACGCTGTTGCTGCTGCTGCTCGCTGCTGCTGTTGCTGCTGGCATGGGCTGCGTCTGGTACCGCTGCTGCTGCTTGCTGCTGCTACGGCTACTGCTGCATGCTGCCGCTGTTATGCTGTGCTGCTGCTTGCTGCTGATGATGATGATGATGGCCGCAATATCTCGCGCTCTAACACACGCGCAGAATTACTGTATAACAGTAGAGAGAAATGCTAGAGCCTTAGGCTGATACGGTCTATGTCCCCTAGGGTAGCTATCGGAGGTTACCCTGGTACGTCGATATTATCGGAAAAGAAATTCCTAGAACTAGTATACATGTAACTCGCGGACTTTTGTCTATTGCGTGCATCATTTCTAGCAGTAGAAAACTACGCTCTCACACACCACACCAGCACACTACACACGCACACGCACGCACAGACGCACGCACGCAACGCACACATGGCCACACCACACACCACACACACACACACACACACATGTGCCTCATCGCACGCTAACACTGCATATATGCCTCGATAGACTATCAGTGCGAGACGTTAGTGAAGAAACGCAGAACGGTGATTAATACATATAGTCATGTCATATACCATATCGAAATCGCACTTGTACGCACATAGATGGCGCTGTCGGCGCGGTATCGTCAACGTAGCCGTCGCCGCCACGCCGTCTCGCGGGCTCATATCACGTGCATCGTAATAACATAATACTTGCATACTTGAATTATCATAACGCTTACTTGTAGTATGATAGATCGTAATACATTGCAACTCGAACACATCGTCAGCAACTGCATCAGCAGCGAAGATAGCACGTAGTATAAGCATCGTATAAAGTAAACGTCAAAAGTAAATATCGACAACTTAACACTCCTACCTACTACAGTGAGTGTACCGGACACAGTCGAAACGCATATTAAAGAAAGAGGCGCGCGTAACTAGGGAGGAGAAATGAATGAGAGAGTCATCAACGGTCATGGCGGTGCCCTCCAAGTACACGTTCAAGGACGCGTACTCCAGCGCCCCTACAGGAGGGGCTTCCTCGCCGCCATGTAGCGCTGGGAGTCAAGTATCGACGATATGGCGTGCAGGCGCCTTCTATCACAAGATTTCTCTTATACGTACTCGCTTATAGAGGAGTCTCTATAAGAGACTTAAGATCTTAGTCTTAAACTTTCTATATTTTAGTTCTCTTATATTAGGAGGTGTCTTGGAGCGCACCCGTTATTCCGGTATATAATAGTAGTCAAAGAGGAAAGCACTCTCAAGGAGATAGCGTTGTCTTTACAGAGAAACTAGAAAATACAACTCAAAACCACTCCGAAACCTTTAATCGCGCCTAAGAAGAAGATGGCACATTCTATGAGATTGTAAACTCCTCCTCCACCCTTCTTCCCATCCCTCCAACCTCATTTCCTCCCTCCCCCCTCACTTCCTACCGCTCGCCCGTCCTCGCCTCCCTCCCCCTCCTTCCTTCCCTCCCCCCATCCTGCCCGTCCCTCCCCGCGCTCGCTTCCCTCCCTCCCACTGCCTTCCCGTCCCTCCCCTCCTTGCCCGTTCCTCCCCGCCTCATTTCCCTCCCCTCCTTTTCCCTCTTTAGTACGGAGGCAGAAACGATACTCGAATATGAGAAAAATTTACTTTTTAGTGGAGTAACAGGTTCGCCGTTACCCACCCCTCAACTCAACTTCCATCCCGTGTCGTCTAGCATTCCGAAATTTAAATACTACGAGATCTGCGAGTTACTTTACATGGCTAAACAGCAGCTCTCGTGTTGCAGGTGTGTTGTGGTGAAGCCCAGTACTGATCATACATATTGCCACTGAAGATGGTGATGGTAGATTTGTAGCATTGTAGATTGTGGATGGTAGATGTTAATGGATGTAGATGGTAATGTATATGCTAGATGGCTAAAATGGTAGACTGGTGTTGAATGCGATAAACAGCACGCCGCGTTGTTTAGTCGAACGAACACGAGTAAATATCCCTCAATAATATGACAAGTCGAAACATAGTTA